GCATTCCAATATTCTCTACGTTCCCTGATCACCACCAGAAATATCTGTGCAACTATCACATTTAACCGAACACTGATTTTTCTCGGCGAAAGGGGGTAATGTGCGCGCTGGGGAACAATAAGAACGCTTCGCATAGGATTCTGATCCTCGGACTATATCCTTCCGAGCGCGCGGCGCTCGCAGTTCAAGGGCCGAGATGTGTACTCAGCCGTCCAGAGTTGGAGGAATTCCAAGTAGATAAGTACCGCGTGTTGTCGGACATGTAAAGTCGCGCGACACTTTTATTGCGGAATAAATTTGAATAACATTCTAAGAAAGTGAAAAAACGCGCTCGATAACGCGCACAGTGGCCGCGGGAGCCGCGCGCGCATTCGTCGCGGAAGCGGAAGTTCGTTGGATGTTAAAGCGCTCGCATCCATCATAAAGTCGCACGAGTAACATGCAACTCGCAGGGAGAAAGAAAAAGATAGAGAGAGAGAGAGAGAGAGAGAGAGAGAGAGAGAGAGAGAAGGCGCAGGAGATCGCGGTTATTGTAACCTGAGAGTGAGAGAGCCTGCTCACTTGCGACCTCGCACTTAGACGTTTTAATCTCGACGGAAATTTCTCGCGATCCGAATGTCGCATCGTTGCTCGTTACTTCGCGACGAGTGTAAACTTCGAGGCAATCAGAGCGATTCGTGGGGCGAGCTAACGCCGCGACGCGACTCGCACACTCGGCAAAATGAAAATGAAAATTCTGGAAAGATTCCAGGGACTATATCGATTCGCCGAGCGCAAGTGTCTATTGCGACAAGAAGAAGCTGACCAGGAAGAAAGAGAGGGAAAGACGAAAAAGGAGAAAACGAGAGAAATAAAGGGGAGCATCGAGTGTGTCAGAAAGTATGCCGGCGAACCGTCATAGGTAACGAACATTATGTAATATGTACCGTGGCTACTGTTTCAACTGCATGAGTTACACGCACGGTGCGACGAAACGTTGGTAAACGAAACGTACGTATATATACTCGTACGTATATATACTCGTCCCAACCGGCGCTGCGTACATTTATTCGAGGCTGCTATGTTTTATGCAGACGTTTTATGGTAACTCTACACATTCGCTTCCTGCAGCTTCTTGTATCTTACCCTTAAATGTATTTCACAACTCTCTGCTTCGACCCTGCCGCGGGGGGTAGGGGGAAAATATTATTTTCCCCGGACCAGAAGGCGGTAATTTCGGCTTAGAGACCCCGAAACCGTGGAAGTGTGTGTTTAATCTGGTCGTACGCAAAAACGTATCATACGACAGGTCGAGTACACATTTCCATTACTA